CACAGTTCTGCCCATCTGACCTTGTGCTTCGTGCTGAGTTCACGCCCAACACGTTCATAGCCCTGAAGAAGGGGATTTACGATCACAAGTTACTTCTCATCATTAGCTTTTCCACAGATAGTACCTTATCTGTATCAGTGAGCCTCAGATGTTTCTCAGAGCTAATCCATGCAGTGAGAAACTCTGCTGCTTTCTTTTCGCTACCAAATGGACCAGCATAGGCAGCCAACTTGAAATCAGGCAAGATAGGCGAACAAACCCCGTTGACCTAAAGATTGAAAGATTTGAAAATCGCGGGTTTGAGTGCAAAGAACTCACATCATTACATAGAGTTGGCTCTGGAAAACTCTCTGTCTGAATAACTTTCGGTGGTATGCTGTTATCGGTCGAGCGGTATAGTGCGACGAAAAAGCCTCCAAGTAAAAGTTCCATTTCAGCTTTTCGTTCCCGTTTGTCACTTCCTGTATAACGGGCACAAGCGACTTCCAAAGCGGTTTGTCCCTCTCTGGAAGCAGTCAGATGAGAACGCAGAAGGAGAGATGTAGTTTGCGTACTTGTTCAAAAAGTGCCTATCCAGTAATGGTTGGCCTACCAACGCTCTAACAACCTCGACATGCCCGAACTTAGCAGCAATGTGGAGGGGAGTATCGCAATTTCCCTAAAATCTAATGTGATTCTAATAGTTTGGTGAACCTATTTAAAAAACTCAATTAGAGCAAAGATGCAAACCTTGTCAGGAGTATTTAGATAAGAGGCAACGATATTTTCTGCACGAAACCGCGCATCGTCCTCAGAAGTACCGTAGAGATCGGCCAAGAACGCTGTATCACCAACAAGCTGCAAGATTTTCTCCACCACGTCAACCTTCCCATGACGTGCAGCAATATGGAGTGCATTGAACCGAAATCCCTCCTAGAAACAATGAGATCACCGAATTCTTAAACTTTGTCCGGATTTTGCAGTGGAGATGGCGTGAATGCACTTAAAGTAAAATCCAGGAATCAGACGGAAATGTAGTCGAAACCACATGTATATTTGAAAATTCTATTTTTATAGAATTGAATTGCCTCGTAATGAAAAAAACAGGAAGATATTCGATTACTGCAATTGTCTTTATAAAAACATTATTTTGAGTCTCACTCAAATAGTCAA